AGCAAAGATCATATAGTGTAACGTTTGATGATATTGCAATCTCATACTGTTTTCAGAACATTTTGGATATCTGTGTCCTTTAATGAAAGACAAATGTTCTAACCCCGCTGTGTTTAAATGCTGCATGTCGCCTCTGTACTGCATTTAATTTTCAGCTTTAACAAATGATATGCTTTCATCAAGCTCATCTTTCTTCTCTGTTTTAATTTAATTTTTAATTTTAGTTGTAGTTCGGCAGTCATCACTGATGGTTAGGTTTCTAGTTGCAGCCTTTTCTCCATAGTAAATAGATGGAGATCTGATAGCCCTCTGTTCAACATAAAGCTCAGAGAAAGAAACAAAAATGCATAGAAAGCGCCGTTTATGTTGAAACGTCCCTTATCGGGGCTTCAGCTCTGTGTAGACTGGCAGTGTAATCCAGTCCTGTGAAGCGCTGCGCTGTCACAAATGCTATCTTCAGATGAGACATTAAACCAAGATCCCTTCCACATATTCATGTGATTGTTATAGGTCGCATGATGTTTTGGGACCTATAACAGCACTCCGGGACACCACCCCATGTGAAGGGCATGTTGTTATTTGAGAGGAGAAGTGTGTTTCTTTTAGTATTTTGGCCAACAAGCCTACAGATCAATTAGTCATTCATCTTATTCTGTGTGGGACCATTTCTGTATGCAAAATGGCTGCTGTATATGTCTACAAAAAGTCACTATATTTGACAGTAATTGCTTTGAAGTGTTTTAAATGTAATAAGGATGCAAACTCTTTCTAGTAAAAAAAACTAAGTCAGGGATTGAGAATAGATTCACTGAGCTATTTTGTTGTAAAGAAGGCTAGATTTGTTTAATAATGAAAAAACATATTTTTGTGTGTGTAAGAGAGCAAAGAGTTAGGCAGAGATGGGGCGTGCAGCAGTGCAGAGGCTAGTTTGGAGCGAGGCCAGGAAAACCATTGTTATAGATGATTAAAAACTGCTCTTGTATTTACAAAGGATCCTCAGTGGGAACAGTATGTGGTAGTGTTGTGCTGGACATCATAACTTACGAATTGTAAGATCCTACACAAATATTTTGTAACAGTGGTTGCAGTGGATTCCCACATTGTTCTGTTTAAGGTTCTGTTTATTCAAAGAGCACATTCGTGGAATTTACTGTGGGAATACAGGATTGCAATCATTTTGGATATTTTGATATCTTGATGGACCTTTTTGTTCCTCTCGATTTATAAGTTGTAGTGCTGACTTAGAGTAAAATTTGGAGAAGTATATGGAACTGGAGAGAGTGCTTCAGAGTCCTTGGCTAACTCTACCGGAACCCATTGTCTCGAAACGTTTTCACCACGTGCATTTTACCGCTCCAGTGACTGTGTGTTTACAGCAGCGGTTCATAGTGGAACCTTCCTTTTTGCTCAGCTCCCACCACTTTGCTCCCTGGAGCTCACCACTGCTTTTCTTGTTTTGCGCAACTTATTCGAAAGGTGGGGAGAAGTTACACAATGCAGGCTCTAAGCTTGCCCATCAACCCAACACCTCCCCACCTCACTGCCGAGACAGTGAGAGATCCAACACCCAAGCGGGCGGGCCCTGGAAGCCTGCTTTCTTTTCATTTTGGGGTTTGTCTCTTTCAAGAAACAACAACTTTGTAAACATTAAAGCCATTTGAATCTCTGAATTCACAAAATTCTCAGAATCAACTTCAAAGCCACCACCTGCATTCTGTGGCAGCCTATATTTGCTGATGCAGTATTAATGGGTTGCTGCAACGTTTGGTGCTATGATCGGCTTGTTTTTCCCCGGTGGTGGAGGCATCTGAAAAGCAAGTTCTCTGTAGTTTCTGCGTATATTGCAGGGTAATGCTGCTGTATCAAGCCTTCACTCTCGTCTCCCCAAACAGCTACATTACTAGTTTAGAAGAAATTGTTTCTAACTTCCTCTTTTATTCCTGTTGTGATTACCTTAAATTTCTTGTCCGCTTGTTACTGACTCCGTGACCAGTGAAAGTAATCTCTTACTATTTACCCTGTATTGGTTCTTTCCTAGGATCCCTAGTTTTAGAGTGACACTGACATGTGGTTTAAACTTTTCGTATCTTTCTGAATCACCTTGACATTTTCTACAGGCTTCAGATTTTTCAAATCAAAATAGTATTTTCAGGATGAATTGTTCACAACCTGAATTAACTCACTAAGTATTGAAATAACGCTTGCATCTTGCTATATTGCTAAGTATAATTTGAACCGGAGGCGGATTCCTTTGCCATTTTCAGTGCAACGTTTTATACAATTTCCATGCGTTTTTTTTCTATACCCATTTATACTGTTACTTTCTAATTCGTGGTTAATCTTAAGCACAGTGCGTTCTACATTCTCACAACCCTTGTGTAAAAAGAAAATATTGTCTGGATTAATTTTTAACCAATTTACCTCTACGATTGTACCTCTCGCTTATTCTTGAATTGCTTTGCTGGAGAGAAGAATACTGAGGAAAATATTGGTGAGCTGCTAAATCAGAATGCACAGCCAAGGATAATGAGATTACGCGCTAGTGTTATTGATAGGGTTGATGTTGACCCTTTAAAACATACGAAAAATATGCTGGAGTAGTGACACTTATTCAATCAATGTGTTTCAGTTATTTTTCACAAACCTAGCCACTACCGTTTCTAGCAATAAGTAACCGTGCTTTTCGTTAAGTGTTAATTTTGATTTAACTTAGTTACTACTCTGGTGGTATTGTGTGTTCCATTTCACTATTCTTTCTCAGGGCTGACGTCTTCATCTTCCGTTCACTGAGGGACTTATCTGATCCGAACCACCGCAACACCTCAGCATGGTTGCTAGATTAAAGACCAACGTGATTTTTATATTAATTCAGTTGCAAAATGGTTCGTTCTGAGAGGAGTGGGTCTAAACTGTACAACAAAATGTACTGCTGCTGTTTAGTTTACTCTAAGTGTTGATTCTTTGAATGAGAAACTGAAAGTAATGATAAGCAAGAAATGACAATAACAGGAAGATGTGGTACTGTATTTTTAAGTTTAATTATTTTAGTGAACTCCTATTACCTGTGGTGTTCATTTATAGACTTCTGAACCGCTGTGAAATTAATTGTACAGTAAAGAAATAGCGAGAAACACTGGCCTAATAATAGGTCTGTGCCATCCTGGAGCCCGTTTGTTCGATGTCTTAACTACAGGCTTTGGCTAACAAAACAGATTTAACCCTTCGAAAATTGCAGCAACCACTCTGCTATTCTTTAAAAATAATTGAAACTCTTATGTTCACGGTCAAGTAGCTTGGTTTCCTCCTCCGATGATCTAATGGGTAAAAGCAATGTCCAGTGAGGGACAAACGGTGAGATGCTTGTTAGGTCAGGGTATTAAGTGGTTAGGTCAGGTTAGCTCAGTGGTTAGAGCGCTCGGCTCGCCAGCGAAGAGACCTGGGTTCGATTCTCGGCAGGGCGAAACGTTAGGCAAGTTTCCTAACACCACATGCCTCTGCTCACCTAGCAGTAAGTAGAAACCCGATTGTTTAGTCGATTGGCGGAACACTTTTCCGAGGGTAATAATTCCCTAAAAAATCTATACATAATAAAAATTGATCACTCAAACCACGACTGCTTTATAGGACACTGCTTTGCGCAATTGGCTGCCGCGTTTCTCCCACAAAATATACAGTCAGTTCAGCCATGGTCTTATAGAATGGCAGAACAGGCTCGAGGGGCTGAATGGCCTCCTCTTGTTTCTATGAGGGCCGACCTATGCGCCTCATAGGTTCAAACTGGGTCTATACTGTGTTACCTAATCTGAATCGGGACAACAGTTGTGACGCTAAAATTACCTGGACTAGCAAGGGGTAAAACTAACACAACAAATTACAATGGTAATATAATAATAATCATTGCATTTGATATAACACTTTTCACGTCTTCTCGACGTCTCGAAGCGCTTCACAGAATATGCTGTAAAGTGAATTGACCATATATTTGTGGGCGAAATTATATTTGTGTACAGTGCCTTTCATGTCAGGTGGATGTGTAATTATAGAGAAAATATAATTATTGCTGGTAAGTATATGTGTATGAGGGCAAGGCTGGAGCAAGCTCTGCTGCTTACACTCAGTGGATGGATGTGTCCCAATTGCAGGCGAGAGGAGTCTTAGAGGAGAGAGGGGAAAAACGGGCAGTAAAAGATTGCAAAAGGCTGAGAAAGATTACAGGAAAAGCAAATTGTCTTCCCACTAATAATTATATACGTGACTGAGAAGAGATTTCACCGCTATTAGCCTCTCATTGTGTGCCTGTGGCCAGGAGATCTGAGAACTTATTTTCGGATGGGTGCTTGGAATGCTAGTCAGAGAAAATTAAAATGTATGCAGTTGTAGCCCACGAATGGTTAAACTTTGCTTCCCCACCCCACCCCCCGTCTCGTATTTGCAATTTTCTCTTCCCTCTCTCAGTCACCATCTTGTTTACCCGCCCGCCCCATTGAGAAATTTGAACAGATAACTCACCCAAGTGACCATTTTTTATGTCGAACTTTGAAATAACATTAAAAAGGCTGAATTTGGTTACATGGTGATAACAGAATAATGTACAAATAAGTATATGAGGCTCCGGATTGCCCAAAGTGTAGCAGTTAACTAAGCGCTGAAGTACCTTCACCTGTATCTGTAACAGTTATTCTTCGTTCACGCATCTATATCAAAATGCTCTGTAAAATCTACCGTCTTTGTAATTATCTGTGGACTCGGTCAATTAAAAATCCAGAAGAAAACCATTGACCGATTCAGTCTCTGTAATTACAATAGCCTTGGAATAGACTGAAACTGTATGTGACTTCTCTGCGAGAAAGTACTCAACCCAGTAGAATTAATACAGTCAGCACAGACTCCCGAGTAAGAGAGTCGGGTAGAACTCGTCCATACCCAGGGGACAGAGTTTGTGACTCGTGTATAGCGTGTGATTGGTGGAATGTGTGACTTTCTTTTTCTTAATGCTACAGATCCTTTTGGGACGTTAGACCCCTTTGGAAGCAGTGCCTTTGGGAGTGGAAGCTTTGCAGATTTTACGCAAATGTCAAAGGTAATTATGTTTGTTTGAGTTTTTTTAAAAACATGTATTTCCTTTAGCCAGGCCTTGCCACTCCTCGATCAGACAGCCCCGGGCCTCTGCTTGGGCCATGTTGCTCTTTGAGCTTTGATTTAGACCCTTGATCTCTTGTCTTTTTCCCCCTCCGCATACTCTCAATGTCTCCCATCAGGTGGCAGCTGAGATTAGACACCATCATGTATTTGGCTTGTTGTGGGGAGAGACCGAGATAGACTGTTGAATCTCAGCAATTATTGTTGATTGGTTGACTTTGGCTCAGTTGCAATCACGCTCGCCTTTGGTCAGAAGGTTTTAAGCTCTATGTTCATGATCTCAAACTCACTAATGAAGGCACCCTACTACGACTACTACTACTAATAATCTCTGCATTGCTGTATCATTGAAACGTCTCAAAACGCTTCACAATTCCATTTGTATTGTGCTTTTTCACGACGGGAGGACGTCCCAAAGCGCTGAAGAGTGAAGGCTCATGTGGAGTACAAGCACCGACATAAACTAGATTTTGAGATCGAATGGCCCATTTCCATGCTGTAACGTTCTATGTAATTTTACAGCAGGCCCTGGCCCCCGCACCGTCTCATGCAGCGTTCCTTAGGACTCTTTCCTTGGTCCCCCTTCTCTTCAATATCTGTATGCTCCCTCCCCAACTTCTGTATGCGGATGACACCCAACTGTACCTCTCTGTCTCCACCCTTGACACTCTCGACTGCTGTCCTGAGACATCAAGTCCTGGATGAGAACTAACTTTCTTCAGTTGAACGTCAACAAGACTGAGGCTCTACTGATTGGCTCTGGACAGCGCCTCCACACCTCAGGTGCTGACAGCATCACCATCAATGGATGCACACTCCACCTTATTAAGCCAGTCCGGAACCTTGATGTCTTGCTTGACACTCAACTATCCTTTCTATCCCACATCCGTGCCCTGACCCACCTGCCTTCCTTACCTCCGCAACATCACCCGGTTCCACCACTGGCTCACTCCGCAGGCTGCCGAAACCCTCATACATGCATTCATAACATCCAGGCTTGACTATGCAGACTACTTGCTTGTCGGCCTCTCCAACTCCTCTCTCCATAGGCTGCAGATAATCCAGAACTCTGCAGCCCGTGTCCTTTCCTGCACCAGGCTCTGTGACCCCATCACCCCCCATCCTCTCCCGACTTCACTGGCTTTCCATCACGCAGAGGGTACAGTTCAAAATCCTGGTCCACACCTTCAAAGCTCTCCGTGGCCTTGCTCCCCCCTTCCTCTGCGACTTCCTAACCCCCTACCATCCTGCCCGCTCCCTCCGCTCAGCATGCTCTGGCCTGCTTCACGTCCCCCGCCTCGTTCGCCCCATTATTGGAGGGTGGGCCTTCTGCCATTCTGCCCCCAACCCTGTGGAACTCCATCCCGCAGTACCTGCGCCTTGCCCCCTCCCTCGCCACCTTCAAGACCTGTCTCAAGACCCTCCTCTTCGACCGTGCTTTCGATCACCCTTCTTCCCCCCTGCCTTCACCCTCCCCAATCCCGACCCCCAGCTCGGGTCCGAAACACTGACTGTCCAGTGCCTTGGGACATCCTCTCAACCTGAAAGGCGCTATACAAATGTAATTTTGTTGTTGTTTTATGTAACCTGAACATTTTTCTCCTGCGCCCCTCCCTCCCACCCTCTCTCTTTCCCCTATCGCAAAGCCCAAGGATAATTTGACCAGCAAACACCTTGGCTGAGATCAGCGAAGGACGGAACAAGTGATTTGTATAAGGTTGTAAATTTAAGCTGTAAATATCAGCACTTTCCCTTTTACTTGAATTTGGTTAACTGCATATCCACTAATCAAATACAAAATTCACAGCTTGACAAAATATTAATGATCTCAGTATCAGGTCAGAGTATTTGTTTTAACACATTTTAGTCTTTTTTCAAAAAACAAAACTCAACACAGTAACGGAATTTACACTTCAGTTACTTGTTACTTTGCCATGGAATCCTGTAATAAAATAATTATGCCACTTAATCCACGACTGTTTTGTGGAACACTGCTGTGTTCAATTGGCTGCTGCGTTTCGCCCACAAAATATACAGTCAATTTACCTTAGAGTATATTCTGTGAAACACTTTGAGACGTCTCGAAGACATGATAGAGTGCTATATCAAATGCAAGGATTCTTATTATTATTAAATTAAGCCTACCTTATGGAGATGATTGATTATTCTAAGCCTTTGCATCAGCTCTATTGCAAGGTTTCCAGTTAACAATTGAGAATGACTACCGTGGTTTTCCATTACTCTGATGCACAGCCGCAAACCCTCTTTGGTAAACTCTCTTTCCTACTTACAGTAAAATTGTCATTTTCTTTTCGAAAAAAGGATCGAGCGTTTTACTTATCAACTTGCGCAGCACATTCAATTCCCCTTACAGTCTCGCCCCACCCTACCTCTGCAGCCTCCTCAAACTAGATTGTCCCGGCCACTCTCTTTGCTTAACAAACCTGCTTCGTGTCCTCCACCTTTGGGTGTGGGGACCCATTCTGTCCCCAGTCTCTGGAACTCCATCCTGAAGTCCCTCTGACTCACTCCCTTCCTCCCCTCTTTTAAGAAGCATCTCAAAGCATACCTCTTTAACTACGCTTTCGGTCATCTTTCCACTCCCTTATCCCACTCAGCCCCCACCCACGGGCAGCACTGTGAAGGGCTCTGTGACATCCTCCCGATGTGAAAGGCGCGATAAAGATGTGTATCGTATTGTCGAACCTTTCAGACTTCAAATTTGTAAGCACAATCCTTACTGAAGTATTGTGTGTTTCTAAAAGATGACTTCTTAAAATAAGTTTCTGGGGAGTACAGATTGAATCATTTATGGGTAAAAAAAAANTTCACACATTGCCCACTCAAAAGGTGAGGTGGAATTTTACGAATAACATTTTTTTTAAGTTGCTGATAACTTGAAAGTTAGATATCAGTCCTGGTATTAATAGTTTTTATGTGATTGTTGGACAAGTCAGGTTCCCACCGCTGATACATTTAGATGCAAATATCGCATCACAAAAGGTGGCAAGCAGTTTGAGCAGAGCAGGATTTCCGAGTGGTTTTAACACATCTCTCCTACTCTAATATATCAGTTCCATTCACACTGTGCTTTCTCTAGTTTAATGTACAACATGTTCTGCTCATATTGCTCACATCACAGCTGAAGAAAGCACACACTTTCCTCAAACTGTGGGCTGCCAGTGGAGGTTTTCTGATTGAAGCCACTTTGAAGAAAGCGATGGCTGATGCTCTGTGTATCTAGGTGTGGTTGTTATATATTAGAAAGCCACTCGTTGGATGGGAATCACAGAATTTGCTGCATTGAACTTGATAGATAACAGGAGATGTCTCCCAGTTAGTTTTTTATATACAGGATGACCAAATAAATCGTGATATCTACTCTAAGATCTAAAAACAAACAAAAATATAATAAGTTCTTTTAAGACATTGTAATGATATCATGATTTTTTGGGTCACCCTGTATATAACTTTGATTTGAATGTACAAACTACAATAAGTACAGATTTACATTTACAAAGCACATTTCATGTTGGGAGATTCTCTCGAAGCGTTTCACAGGATACACTGTAAAGTGTAGTGACTGTATTATAGGTGAATATATAATAGGCAGGCAGAGAGAGAGACTAACTGATGACTACTAGACTTACATTGTTGCATTATTCTAGCTGTGTGGTTGATCGCATCAAAAGCCAAGAAAGAACTTACATTTTTATCATGGTGAGATGAACAGAGATCACAAGCGTAGAGACAGTTTCTGTAGGCAAAGTTCACATAAGCAAAAGTTGCTGACACTTGAGATTATACTCTTTGTTTTACATCATGCCCATATATTGTTCATTTAGATTTGATTTTTTGCAATATAAATATACAGGTGTCAGTTTATGGGATTGTTCTATTCTGCCCTTTGTCTCTTTTATTTATTAGCATTGGTGGGCAACAGTGTCTGTGGTCAACAGTGTCTGTGTCTGAGTGCTGGGGGCTTCCCTCAAGGATTAACAAAGGGATTACTGTGGTAAAATCCGCGGTTAATTACAAGAAAGAATGCAGTAGTCCTGGATGAGAAAATCTTGGTGCTATGTTGCCAACTAGTTATCAATTCACAGATCAATCATGAAATAGCCCAGCTTTAGGGAACTCGTCCAAATTCCCTTTGTTGTCTACTTTTACTCCCCGTCTTTAAACCTTCTAAAACCAATCTCTTTGATTGTGGCTTTGGTAAACACCCTCAGTTTCTCTGTCTCCTTCCCTCCCTAGTCAGTGATCACCCTGGTCTCTGTAAAGTAATTTGAGATTTACACCCTATCTAAAATGTGCTATATAAACGGAAGCTTTAGAAATAGGTTCAAACCTCTGTCTGTTCTTACAAGCATGATCAATTGGTTGTCTTAGGTGTAATGATTCTGAGAATTTCTCTTAAACTTTTTGGTAGAGGCCAAAGATTGCCGGATTAGAGGAATCTTAGAAATGGTATTCCAAGTCTCTTATTATCCCTTTTCGAAACACAATGCCTATTTCCTTAAAATGCACCATTATGCTACTTGCACATGTATCACAATGAAATTCATGCAAACTTCTTCCAGCTACTCAACGAAGCTTTGCTCAACACTTTTTGTGTGTTCAGGCTAATATCTTTTAATTCCCCGTGTTTCTTCCTGTTGCAAATGTGTTCTTAAACTTATTACCCACGAGTTAAAACTATTTCCTGCTCCCTCTGTAAAGACTATTTGTGGGACTTGTGCAATGTACATCAATAGTCACTACAACATGACAGTAATTACAGTGAAGTACTTTGAGAGATTTCAGCATTATAGATGCTAAAAAAAAATAAGTCTGTCTTAAAAGTTTATAATCCTTCTGCGGATCAGACAGTTGGTGAGAAGCCTCTTGCTGTTTTGAGTTGAGACTCCATGTAAGATTGTGCTCTTTATGCCAAATAGTATTTTATGTTGTTTTCACAGACTTTATAAGAACATACGAAATAGGCGCAGGAGCAGCCCCTCGAGCCTGTGCCCTGCCATTTAAAACCATATCACTTCACGTATGGGGAGGGGGGGCTTTTCACTGTGGTAACTCCCAGCACCCTCAGGCAGATTATTACTTAACTCTGCTACTGGTTTACCAAACATGTGACTGCTCAATGCAAACATTGGTCTGTGGGTGTTGCAAGCCCCCAGTGCTGATATCCCCCACTTCACTGAAGTTTAAGGTTATAAATTGAAGGTCACAATCGATTTTTGGTTTAGTTGAAAGAAAAACGGCATATTCAGAAGAAAAGACTAAACTCAAATCAGTAAATTTAAGAAAGGAAAACTACCGATATTGTCCAATGTGAAAGAAGCTTCTCCGAGCTCTTCATTTAAGCTCGTTTATACAAAACCACGCTTTTTTTTAAATGCATAAAGGTTGAAAAAAACCAACCACAAAACGAAAACTTGGGGGAGTTTCACATTCTAAAAAAGCAGTGTGTGCAGGGACTAAATACAACACAAAGTTACCCATCTACAAACCACCAGTTTTCAAAAAGAGTCTCTGCCTGGCAGCTCTGAACACACAAATTTGATATTTGTTATGTACTTGATGCAGGAACAGGAGGAAACTATTCAGCGCCATGAAGCCTGTTTTGCCATTTTCTTAGATCATGTCAATCTTTTTAATCCCCATCCTTGCCAAATCCCAGCAAATCCTCCTGGAATAACAGCCTCTAAAGTCCAGAGCCCGTGCGTCAGAGGGCATGTGGTTCATATCTGCCTGGATCTGGTTGGACCACATCAACACTTCCTGACATTCCCTCTCAAACCAAAGTCCAAATCCTCCACTTACACAGGATTTTCCTGAAAGCAAAGATAACCCCAGGCTTCTCTTTGCCTCCACCACTAACTTCTGGCCAAGCTCCTTCCATCCTCACTTCTGACTACAAACATGAGGAGGTCACGGACTTCTTGATGTTCAAAATCAACAAAACCTGATCGGCTGCTTCTGCTTTCTCACCCTCCTCTCCCACTCACTAGACTTCACATCTTTGACTATCTCCCACCTTATTTCCTGCATGAAACCACTACCTGCTGCCTGCTACCTGGTTCCCACACAGCACCTGTCTACCTTGCTGCTGTTTCTCGTGCTCTTGTTTAGCCAAAGTCAATCTCCCTCCCTCCCCCCGTATCTCTCTCCCCCCACTCCCCGCAAAGTACCCTTGGCTTTCAAAATTGCCGTTATTATTCTTTTTCTCAAAAATCCGACATTGGGTCCCTCCCAAAACATCTATGTGGTAAATAGGGGTCATGCTAGGCAAGAATGGTATTTCAGATCACGCATTCAACAACAAATCATCATTCGAATCACCATTTTTGTTTAGTTCAGTACAGAGAAACCTCAGTTGTGTTTTTATCTGTGATGTCCCACTTCGTTGTGATACAGGAGATAATGAGTGAGAGAATCCTTAAAAGTGTCATTGCATGATTATTTTGAATGGTTTAAGGTTTCCGTCACTTCTGCCGAAAGCTTGCCATTCTGCGATATCAATGGCAAGCTAAACGGTTTTAGCTGGTTAGACTCCATCAGTTAAGCCAACGCCCACTCTGGGTTCCCCAAGCCTTAGCTCTTGCCAATCTGTGCCCAATACTTTCTGGAATTAGGTCAGCGGGATGCATCCCTGCAGGGAAAGATTAAGCATTCCATTCCAACAACCTTATCTCGAGGATTTCTATGCGTAGTGCGATGCATGGAAATCTCAGCTTGGTTTGGATACTTTTAAGTACGGTGATGGGTTTCTGCATATGTCAGTCACCCGACTGACCAAAACAAAAGCTGTGAGAGCTGTCGTTAATCCTGGCAGATTGGGGTACAACTGTATAGTGGTCTTGGGTCACCAGCCTTGAGGTTTTTTTTTCTTGACCTTTTCTTGAAGAAGCTTCCTAATTATGGTAAGCTCTTCAACTTCACACAGCCTACACTGCCCAATGTGGTTTCATTCGGAAACATTCTTGCTCGGCTTTTAAAGCCTTCGCTTTAAAAGCAATTTGTTCTTTCAGCCAATGATTCACTTTGGCAGCGTGTTTATGATGTATTGCTGGCAGTAGACTGTAAGCTCATTTTTTTTAATAAAAAAAAGCTTCTATTCTGTGTTACCAGTCGTATACGTTTTCCATCCTGTTTTTCTTTTCAAAATATCTAGAAAAACACTTTAGTATATTTCCATTAGAAAGATCACAGGAAAAGCACTTCAGATGTGGGTGTCTAATCATGTCAGAGTAACATATTGTGGTTTACAACTTTGCTAAAGATTATCTTGCCCCGAGTTGAATATTTGAGTCTGAATTCATCATCTTTCTTGTTAGAATATAATTATAATAATTTATTCATTTGGTATAGTGCCTTATCACCTTGGGCAAGTTTCCTTACTCCACACGCCTAATAATAATCCCTCCAAAACAAAGCAATAATAAATTGGTTATTTTCAATCCACAACTGTTTGTGGGACACTGCTGTGCGCAATTGGCTGCCGCGTTTCACCCACAAATATACGGTCAATTCACTTTACAGTCTATTCTGTGAAGCGCTTTGAGACGTCGAGAAGACGTGAAAAGCGCTATATCAAATGCAAGGCTTATCATTATTATTATCACAACTTTGAAACATCGCAAAGCACTTCATAGAATATACTGCAAGGTGAATTGACTGCGTATTTTGTGGGCGAAATGCCAATTGAGCACAGCAGTGCCCCACAAACAGTCATGGATTGAGTGACCAATTTAATATATATTTTTTAAGGAATTATTCCCGGAAAAGCGATTTACTAATCGACTAACAACCATGTTCCAACTTACATGCTACGTAAAGAGAGGCATGTGGAGTAACGTCTCTAAGCGATTCACAGAATATACTGTAAAGTTAATTAACTGTATATTTGTGGGCGAAACATGGCAGTGTCTCACAAACAGTCATAGATTGAGTATATTATAATATATATCCATCCAGGTCAGAGATATGAAAACCTTTGCATTCCTGCCACTGGGGCAAGTGCCATACTGGAAGCAGTAGTGTAAGGACAATCAGAGATGAAGGAACATAGCCCTGAATTGTATCAACACAAAGGAATTTAGGAACAGATCAAGGCCACTCACACTTTCTCAGCCACACATATTATCCTGTCACCAGCATATGATACCATTGTGACAAAATGATTGGTGCTTCTTCTTTCCCTATCAGAAAAAAATTATCAAAGTCTTTTTGAAGACTGTACTCCTTTAGAGTATTGTTTAAAACTGCTTCACGTAACTTTCTGATGTTCTTAGAAGGCACCTGTCTTCAACGGCAGAGTGTATGTAGTCTTCATATTCTATCTGTAGACTGCAGCTGAGTCATTGAAAAGTGCTGCTTTAGACTATTGCCATGCGTCTCCACTTTTAGGTTTAAGCCCCAGGTTGGCCTGTAGATTATTGCCCCACTCTCGGGCCTTTTTACCCTCCCTTGATGATGATAAAATGATAATCCTTGCATTTGATATAGTGCCTTATCATGTCTTTGAGATATCTCAAAGCGTTTCACAGGATATACTATAATATGGTGTGACTGTATGTACTTTGTGGGTGAATGTGGCACCCATTTTTATCCTTCAGCAAGATAATTCTCAGGGTCTCTGTTCCTCCTTATCAGCACCTTCGCCACGCTGCATTCAGCAACACTATTCTTGTCTTCATCGTCTTCCAGAAACAGGACTCAATGATCCAAGGGTAAAATGTGAACAGGCTGAATGGGAAGGGATAGTAGAATTGACTGTGTTCTCCACAATGTATCTGCAGCCTTCAAATTCTGATCCTTTTGCTGCTTCTGGCTCTGGACCCTTTGGAGGGTCAGGATTCCCCGATGATCCTTTCCAAAGTAAAAGGGACACTCCAGCACTGCCTCCCAAGAAGAACGTTCCCCCACGTCCTAAAGCACCTCCTAGCGGTAAGTTTATCTCCTCCATTGGTAAGTTTTTGTAACAGCCCTAATGTAACAGTCATAGCATCAATTTAAAATGTCCAGTTTTCTTTTGTCAGTTCAATATACTTCATATGCTTCCTTCATATAACTAGGGTGAGAGGACACCATTCAAGCAACCGATGCAGAAATGCAATTTCTTCCCTGTTCAATTATATTTGCATCATATAGTTATATAATATAACTCTCCTTTGAATTTTTATTTTGTTGAAGTGTCCTGCCTTATTGACTTACGCGTTTATTTTAAAAAATGCATCCAATAAGATCTTTGATTCCTCCCACGTTGCTCCCCTGATTGCTGATTATATCATCAAGTTGTTTTGATGCTATAATCAGATATCAGGAGATTTGTTTTGAGACCTGTAAACAAAATAGAAACCCACAGTATTAAAGGTGCAGTGACAGCATGGATACAGAACTGTCTGGGAGGCAGAAAGCAGAGAGTAGTGGTGAACGGTTGCTTTTCTGACTGGAGGGAAGTGTGCAGTGGTGTTCCCCCAGGGATCAGTACTGGCATCACTGCTGTTGGGTATAGGGAGTTGGACTTGGGTATAGGGAGTACAATTTCCAAGGTTGCAGATGATACTAAGCTCGGAAAAGTAGTAAACAGTGAGGGGGATAGTAGCAGACTGCAAACGGACATAGACACAATGGTAAACTGGGCAGACACATGGCAGATGAAGTTTAATGTGGAGAAATGCAAAGTGATGCATTTTGGAAGGAAGAATGAAGAGAGGCGATATAAGCTGAATGTACGATCCTAAAGGGGATGAAGGAGCAGAAAGTCCTGGGGTTCATATAAGTAAATCTTTGAAGGTGGCAGGACAAGTAGATAAAGCTGTTAAAAAAGCATACGGATTACCAGGCTTTATAAATAGGGATATAGAATACAAAAGTCAGGAAGTTATGATGAACGTTTATAAAATACTGGTTAGGCCTCAGCTAGAGACTGTGTTCAGTTCTGGGCCCCACACTTTAGGAAGGACATCAATGCATTGGAGAGGGTGCAAAGGAGATTTACCAGGTTGGTACCAGGAATGAGGGACTTCAGTTATGAGGAGAGGGTAGAGAAGCGAGGGTTATGCTCCTTGGAGCAGAGAAGGTTTAGAGAAGACCTGATAGAATTTTTCAAAATTCTGAGGGGATTCGATAGGGTGAATAAGGAGAAACTATTTCCACTGGCAGGTGGGTCAGTAACCCGAGGACACCGATATAAAATAGTTGTTAAAAGAAACAGGAGAAGTGAGGAGAAATTTTTTGACACAGCGAGTTGTTTGGATCTGGAATGCATTGCCTAAAAGGGTGGTGGAAGCCAATTCGATAACAGCTTTTAAGAGAGAACTAGATAATTATTTGGGGAGAACAAGTTTGCAGGGCTATGGGGAGAGAGTGGGGGGGTGGGATTGATTTGCATAGCTCTTTTCAAAGAGCTGGCACAAGATGAGCCAAATGGCTTCCTTCTGTGCTGTTTACTTCTATGATTCTAAGTGCTGCTACCTCCACACGCAAAGACAGGGAAAATAACCAAAGAGGATGGCCTTGCTAGAATGGTTCCTGTAGTGCTCGATATGTCAGTTTATTACATGACAGCGAAGATCTGGAGCAGGGAGGGGAGAATTTTGCATCATAACTAACCTACACAGGGGAATAATATTTATCGGAGTATCATTTGAAATAATAATAATAATCCTTGCATTTGATATAGCGCTTTTCACGTCTTCTAGACGTCTCAAAGCGCTTCATAGAATAGACTGTAAAGTGACTATATTTGTGGGCAAAATGCAGCAGCCAATTGCACACAGCAGTGTCCCACTAACAGTCGTGGATTGAAATGACCAATTTATTATTGATTTTTTTTGAGGGATTATTATCAGGCATGTGGAGTAAGGAAACTCGCCCAACGTTTCACCCTGCCGGGAATCAAACCCAGGTCTCGCGCTTGCAAAGCGAGTGCTCTAACCATTGAGCTACAGGACTCCACTTAATCTTAACTGAGACATGCTGAAGTGCAATAGAATGTGTGATGTTAAGTGGCACAGCACAGAAAGATCTAAGTAAAAGGGTCTTGAACCAGGTTTGGTACCCACAACCAACCATCTGGTAAGAATACCTTCTTGTAAGGGGTGAATGAGTGCTTTCAAACGTTGCATTTTTTCTACAGTTACCTGACAGTTCGGGAGTTGTCTCTTTGACTGCACAATAGATGTTGATCAAGTTTGGGTTCCCTTATCAACGTTATCAATGGTTTTATAGAAGAACTGCTCGTTAGTGGCTGTTTTGGTAACAGCTTTTGAAAAATAAATATATGTTGTTAATCTGATGTAGAACAAATTCTCTCTGAAAGTGCAAGGTTTCTAAATGCACCAAACCAGAACTGACCGTAATTTAGTTCAAAGTGATAAGTTAGATATTTTTGGCACTGAATATGTGTTGTGGCTGCTATAAATTTAACATTCACAAACATTTATGAAACTACACATCGTCATTTCTTGCATGAATGTTGCAAGTGGATAATAAAGATTCCACAACGCTATTCAAAAAGGGAAGGAAATTTCTCCTAGTGTCCTGACCAACAATTTTCTATATTATTTTGTCATTTATGACTGTTTGTGGGAGCTTGCTTTATGCTAATTAGTTCCCATGTTTATCTTTTTTATATACATTTGACTAAATAATAATAATAATAATAATCCTTGCATTTGATATAGTGCTTTTCACGTCGGGAGGACATCCCAAAACGCTTCACAGAATATACTGTAAACTGAATTGACTGTATATTCGTGGGCGAACGCGGCAGCCAATTGCGCACAGCAATGTCCCACAAACAGTCGTGGATTGAAAATGACCAATTTATTATTGTTTTTGTTTTTTGGAGGGATTATTATTAGGCTCTGTGTGGAGTAAGGAAACTTGCCCAAGGTTTCGCCCTCTGCCTGGAATTGAACTCAGGTCTCTCGCTTGCAAAGCGAGTGCTCTAACCATTGAGCTACAGGACTCCACAAAGTACATTGAAATGTTTTGATGTGACAGGCACTATATATATCCTTAAAAGCACTTTGTTTTGAGTTACCTCCTTCCTTTCATATCTGGCCTCAGGTGTGGCTGAGAGGATTTGAAGCTCTCTGAGACGCTGTCCGGCGTGGAGGGCGCTATATAAATCCACGTTGTTGTAATACAAAATACAATTTCTATTTATATAGTGCTTTTCGTGTTGTCAGGACTGCTGGATGGTCACCCAGGGGTGGGAGAGGGGAAAGATGACCGAAAGCATCGTCAAAATAGGGTACAACGCACCCCTGCCTTCAATTGTCCATTAATACTGATCCAGAGTGTTGTGCTAAAGTTCTCTCTCTCTCACACATTCTCTCTCTTTCTGTAGCAGTGTTTTGGTCTGTGCACGGTCTGTCCAGAGCATTGAGTGAGAGAAGAAGACTTACCCTTGCAAATCCATGGTATTGCATACTTTGGTGCAGGCTTTGCCCTGCTTGTTGTACTTTATTTCCTACCCCACTTTCCCTTCTTGTACAATCACTTTCAGTGGAGAAATTGGCACTGCAAACCAGGTCTGCTCCAGAGGCTATATACCAAAGCAAAGAGTACTCCTGACGTGAAAAGCGCTATATCAAATGCAAGGATTATTATTATTATTATTACAGTCTGGTGAGACCAAAATACTTATCTCATTTCTTCTCTTGTGAAACATTTCAACCACCAGTGTAACCTGGTCCCTTCTGTTGCTCTTTGTAGTGAGGAACCAGATCATCTTTCATTGATCAGAAAAATTTCATGGAAATAACATAACATGTAGGAGCAGCAGTAGGCTCTTCGAGCCTGCCCCACCATTCAATCATGGCTGATCTTCTAATCTTAACTCCAGCTAATAACATAACCCTGCCTTATCCCCATATCCCTTAATCCCTTAAATAATGAAGAGCATTCTCAAAAGCCTGGAAGGATGATGGTATTAATTCATTCCAATGCTCCATTCTCATGCCATAACAGTCGTGTAAAAAGACTGTCGTCTGTCAAACCTGATTGTTCTCGAGGACGTTTTGGCACTGGCATGCACCAAAGGACAATTCTACCAGAAAGTTTCCGGTGGAGGAGTGAACCATTGCCAGTGTTAACTTGTTCTTATATGATGACTCTGGAACACATGGGTACACTCAGTGCTGTGTGCCATAGTGCATAGTATGTAGTTGGACCTGACCCCTACACACAGAAAGAAAGGGAAGATGGAGCTCTCAGTCTTAGCCATGTTACTGTAGGGAGTTAGCGAGTGGAACTTGCCTCCTTGGGCTTGCATGTAATGCTCTGAGCCGGTCTGCTACACCTTTGCAAGAGTGGCCTGGCCATGTGTCCCTCTGATTTGACTCTTTTCCTGTAGGAATTCCTTGGCTCTCCACAGCAATATACCAGTTACACCCTCCAATGTTGGGTGTCTATGCTCCCCAGAGCTTCTGTGAGCCAAACTATTACCTGTTGAGTTGCTAGTTATTGTTTTCCGATGGACTCGGTATTGTGCAATTATTTTACACTCTGCAGAAGTCGTGTTCCTTTTTCAAATGGTGTTTGAGGATGAGAACGGAAGTGGGCACGGAGGGAAATTGCTGAAACGAAATTGGAAAGAGGATGTGAAAGGAGAAATATTGTTTGTGTGAGAATGTGTTTCCCAAAGTGGAGTGTGAAATGGGCTAGAAAAGCACTTTCACATGTGAAGTTGCCCCATTCCTGTGTGCTTTTAATAGTTTTTTTTTTGAATATTGGGTTTGGTGCCTGCTTGGTATTTTGAGTCCATGTGAAATTCTGAAACTGACAAACCTTAAGATAGTGGGTGTGAAATGAAGTTCAATCATTCTTGTTCTTTGCATTTTTACTATTTGCTGAGGGTTTTAATTCTGCCAGCGCAGTATAATTTTTAAGGTAGTGGGAGTAGAGAATAATAAAATACTCATAATGCCTGACTC